CTCTGTCTTACATATATATTCTTTGATCTACCAATTCTATTTTGAGTTTGGTGCATTGACTTAGGCAAATATTTTTAAAGCCATTAAAAGTAAGGATGTATAGGGACCAGCAGTTAGCGTAATGGCTATGTCACTGGACTCCCACATAGTCGACTGTGGTTCGTGTCCCAGACCCGGTGGCTTAAAACTCACGTCAGGCGCATGTGCATGCATGCCCAAGATCCCGAGAGGAGAATGGAGGAGAAGTGATTGCGGTGTGGCCATTCCCCCTGGGGGGTGATTTCTCACTTTCTGTCTCTCTGTCTCTCTCTGTCTGTCTGACGAGCACTCGCACCCTATAGCAAAAACCTCTCCAAAAAAAAAAAAAGTAAGGATATATAGCTCATTGATATTCAGTGTTGTTCACCATTTATTTGTAAACCAAAAGAATATAAATATACCTACATGAAATTCATTATTGATCTTTTATAAGGGATGCTATTTTTCCATGATGTGACATGAATAAAGAGTTGACAATAAAAAAGACCAGAAAAATACTATAGGGGTTAACCTCTGTGAATTTAGGGATGAATTTTCCTAGAGTTAGATCAGTTTCCAGGTGATATATCTTTACATCTATGGGGTGGGGAGTCTACTAAAACACTTAACATTGCTTGGGAGAGCAGGCTCATTTTCAGGGGGATCTGAATTTGCAGTACACCAAAGCAGTGGGAGTCTGCTTCACTCTTAACCCCAGACTTGTACTTGCTGAGTGGCTTAATAGCCACTGTGGTTAGACATGATGAACAGTCATGAAACTGAGCATGCACTGAAAGCCCCAGACAGACACAAAAGCTTTATGGAAATTTTATGAAGAAAAGGGATGTATATGCAGCTCCATGAGAAAAAGAATATACTGGGATAGAAGATGGCAAGAAAGGAATAGTAGATTTAGGGCACAACTTCAGTGACTAAACTGTAACAAACAGACATGAACTACTTTTCAAAGAAAACGATACCCTCCCTGTAAAATTAGGAGAAAATCATGAATATAGGCTCTGGGCTTCTATAACAGCTCCTACTTCCTTCTCTCAGTAATCAGTATAAATGAAACAAGACTATTAAACGTGAAGAAACATGGATTGCAAAGATACAAAATCAAGGTCAATATTTGTGTATTTATGTATTTAAATGACCAGAACAAAATGGATATTCTGTAAATTTATTTTCTGCAAAGATATTTGTGCAAACATAACAGAAGTGGTGGTACGAAGACTAGGTTAACTCAGTTTCTAGTCAATGTAAGGAATGTGGAGGGAAGAACTGGAGGGCAAGTTCCAGCTAATGAAACAAGTTTTGAACTAGTAAAGTGTAGTTCAATTCCTAAGTGGATGGGTAGTCTGGTGCCATATAACTGAGTGAGCACCCTGATCGGTGCAGGGCTTTTGCTTCAATGGACAGAGTAGAAGTGTAAATACACTTGAGAGTATCTTTCTTTGTTTATTTCCTCCATAGGGACTTATAGGCTTCTGTGA